GGGGCTGCGTGCGGGGCGCGGGCAGGTGTCCCCGCGGCGGGGGGCAGCGGGGACGCGGCGTGGGGGGAGCGGGGCCGCCTCGGGGCGCTTCTCTCGCCGAGCTGGGAGGCGTGAGCGGCGGCCGTTGGGTGCCGTCAGGGGATCCCCGATGAGCTACCGGGAGCCTTCGTGCTAGCGCGGAGTGTAGGGGGCTGGAGCCCCCGAGGTCGCGGCGTCGGTGCGTTGATAATGAATGGGCGAGGAGGAAAAGAGAGGGCTGGCGTGCTGCTGCTGTGAGCGGCGTTTGCTCGTGGCCGCGGCGTGGCTGTGGGGGTGAAGCTGGGCGCAGGGGGAAGTGCCTCGGCACCCGGCCCCACGCAGTGCATGGCAGAAGAGGCTCCGCAGCACGGCTTTCAATCAGCGTCCGTCCTGCTGCAGTCAGCTGGGCGCCACGCTGTGTTCTGCAGCCGCAGCTCTGCAGCCAGGGCCCATGCTCGATCATAAGGCTGCTAAGGGGCATGCGTCTTTGCTCTAGCAAACAGTGCTCAGAAACATCCTATTATCTTGTATGTATGTGTGTATATATATATATGCACAGTTCTCCGCGAGGCAGGAGCATGCATTCTTGTATTCTTGCAATGCATAGTACAGGGTAGAGAAGCTCTAGGCTGGAGTCCCTCAGTGCTACCATTTGCACATGAGTGCTGGCTGCGCAGCATGGGGGACTCCACCATGTGATGCCCAAGGAACCTTGAAACCCAAGGAACCTGCCATACTCTCCTGTCCCACGAGCGTAGAGATTCTGCTGTGTAATGGAGGACACCACCCACATCTCTCAGAGTCACTCTCGTCCCATTGCTCAGGAAAACCCCATTGCTTGGGGAAAGCCCATGCACGCGGTCGCTCTGGCTGTACTGCAGCCTGGGCACACTGCAAATTGTGTCAGCTGTGCAGCGATGCTGCCCGGCAGCCTCTGGTTCACATCTTCCTTTGCACATGCAGCTACCTGCTGTGTTAGCATCATTTTCTCAGTTTTAAGCCACGGCGAGTAACGCAGTGAAGTAGAGCACAATGGCACCATGTTCTAACTGCTCTCTCTTGCTTGGTCTCTCTTCCAGATCTAGCTGCCTTCACACGGACCATGCTCCCAAAGGCTGTATGATCATTTCTGGTGACTGCCAGCGGAGGCTCACTGGGGCCCGTGCAGCAGAGCGGGAGGCCGAGGGGTTCCTGCTGCCCCTCAGGCAGAGATACCGGCGTGTGGCCGACCTGCAGTGAGGTGCAGCTTTGGAAGCTATCAGAGACGAGAGCCGCCGTGAGGTGCTCTGGACCTGGGGGGAAGCAGAGCGGTGGCAGCATGGACAAGGACAGCACCAACCTGGCCGACCAGCAGTATGAGTGCGTGGCTGAGATCGGCGAGGGAGCCTATGGGAAGGTGTTCAAGGCCCGCGACCTGAAGAATGGTGGCCGCTTCGTGGCGCTGAAGCGGGTGCGGGTGCAGACCAGTGAGGAAGGCATGCCGCTGTCCACCATTCGGGAGGTGGCCGTCCTGAGGCACCTGGAGACCTTCGAGCACCCCAATGTGGTCAGGTGAGGAAGCGGGGCCTGCTCTGTGGCGCGTGCACCGGGTGAGCGGTTTGGGCATGGGGAGGGCCGGGCCACCGATGGGCTTTGTGGATAGAGAGAGAGCTCCTCTGTGCGCATGGAGTGTGGTTTGAGGTTTCGACAGGCTGCGGGGCTGTGCCAGAGCTCACCTCATCCCCGTGCTGCCTCCCACACACACAAACACCCATCTCCAGAGGCATAGGCGTGTGACATAGTGCTGGGGTGGATGGCAAGAAGCCCCGTACACACCATTTCCTCAGGCGTGAGAGGGAATGAAAACCCAACTCCCTTTGTCCCAGGTATTAGCTCTGACAGCTGCTGCTGATTCTTAGCAGCTCTATTCGTTACACACAGGTAATGGTTGTAGCGTTAGTGGGATGTGCATTCTACTTCTTTAGATGTTTTTATAAATGTTTGCAGATTATTACATTAAAGAGGAGGAGAAGCCTAAGACTGAGCTTTACAGGTCTCGTGACTGACTGCTGCTTGTTGGTAAATTCCCCAGGAGCTGCTGGTGGTGCTACCAAGGGTGCAGCAGAATGACTTCAGGCCTTGCTTTCAGCATGGCGGTGGTGCCACCAGGTTTCCTGGCTGTTGTGTTGGTAGCGTAAGCTCTGAGTGAATGAGCTTTGTTCTTGGGCAGGTTCCCCATGCTGAGACTGCCTCGTGAGCATCCTTATTTGAATGTCACGGACTTTAAAAAGTGTGCTTTGCTTTGAGATACTCGGCTGCATCATCTTGCTGATGACATTGCATCAATAGAAATATGTCCTGCTATTTGTATTATTTTACTCACACATTACATAGTAAAAGGGAAATATTCCATACTTCACTAGTGCCAAACCTCTGTGAGTCCTGGAGAAATAGAGATGCTGTGGTGACAGAGGTGGCTGTTAGACTGGCTTGTAGCTATGGTCACCATATTTGTCTTAGGGGCTGAGACGAGGGCTTTCATGGTAGTAAATGGAGCAGGACAGATAGGAAAGGGAATAATTAAAATACAAAAGTGAACAGCTAGAAATAAGTTAGTTTTCTTTCATCTCAAGGCAATGTAATAGAACAGTCTCATTTCTGAGCAAACTGAATAGGCAAAGAATGTTTGATGAAGTACTAGTCATGGAGTGGGAAATGGTTGGAAGTCATAGGCCTCCTTGCTATATCTGAGCAATGGGATGATGTCTGCAGCTCGCACTTTATCAGTACTGGTCAGGAAGATCCACTGTTTGCTCAATAACCAATATTCTGACGGGCACCTGGTAATGCCAGAGGCTTAGTGCAAAAACTGCAGAACTGGAGGCATGTTAGTGTGGGCAACATTTTGTATTTGGTCAATGAATCAGGTGGACTGATGCACCCAAAGACCTTCCTTGGCAATAGAGATAATTAAGAGTTCTTAAAATCTCTGAAATCCAGTCGACTAATATCAGAGACTAGATGTGGATTTAGATGCGCAAGTTTAGATACTTATTTTGAAAATTGTAAGCTTTCTTTAGGAATGATTAAAAGAATGCTTCTGAACTTTGTTTTATCACTGAGATCTTTCCATATGACGTAAAAGATTTTTTGAAGTGCTCTCTAATCCAGAGATCAGAACGTAAGAGCAATTTCAAACGTTATCTCTTCTAAAACAAGATAAATGCTTTTTGGAAGTAACCTCTGTTGTGAAACGAGTGAGCGATGCAAATATCACATCAAATCCATCAGGTCTGAGTGAAGGCATGTGGTCCATGAGTTGTTCGGTACAGACCGTCATTCTGTGAGTCAAAATTTAGACAAACTACCAAGAGTTGAGCTGTATTTGACCTGTGCTGCTGAGCAAGTGTGGTGATGGTACTCTGTATCAGCTGGTGGCGGCGGCAGAAGCCGTGAGCTGTGTCGTGTTGTGCTGCACTCAAGGGACAGGCTTGGGCCAGCCCAGCGAGCGCTGTAAGGAACTCAGCCCAGGGCTGTCCTGTCTGCATGAAGAGATGTTGAATGTGAAGAGCAGTTTGGGAAGGAGAATCCCTGGTACTTGCTTAGCAGAGAAGTAGCTGCATGGTTTTGCTGGTGAGTCTTGATGGAGGGCCAGCAATTGGCCTGCTGGGCATAGATTCTCTTCTTTAACATCCTGAGGAATGCTTGATGCCAAAACTTGTTCCTAACGCTAATGCTTCTGATAACAGAGAACGTTCTCCATAAAGCAGAAATGACTGAATAGCATACAATAGTTTTAAACAAAATGTTTACCATATTTTTCCATGCTACTTCTTGCTAATTATGTGAGGCCTTGTTTCGTGTCCCTTCTATCCAAGTGTCCTGTTTCCATCTTTGCACCATGCCGTGATGCGTTTCTACAGCACCGCTGCTTTTACTGCAGTAGGTAAATATTAGGTAAGAGCTAGTGGCAGGATAAGGCAAGAAGAGGTGCAGGGTGAGAAGTCTGATCTGCAGCAGAAAAATGGTGGTAGTGGAAGTCTCTGAACAGTTAGCTATAAAGGGATTAAGGCCTAGTGGACTGACCAAAACTTTTGTAAGACTAAGAAAAATAGAATATTGAAACACGTGGGAAAAAACGCAGTAAAAAGGATGTTTGCTTTGCTTTAAAATATTCTCCTGATCACATTTGGCCTTGTAAAAAGCCCCCCGTCAGGGCACCTAACACTATTCCACTTACCTTCATGGAGGGTAAATAGCCAGCAAAAAAATAGCCAGTTTTCAAGAGTAAATGGTAATGTGAATTGTTCTAAAGTGAGGAATGTTGTAGGCTATGAAATGTTCTTAATAACAGGAGGATGATTGAGGTGCTCACCTTTCAGATAAAAAGTAATACTTTATTCAAGCTTTCCTGTATGTGGTAGTTAAATCTGGCTAAAATTGGTCCTGCACTTATGTAGCTTGGTGCTGTTCTCTTTGAGAAGAAATGAAATATATGTAGACAAAGGATGGGCCTTGCCAGGAATAAATGACATATTAGATTCAGGAAATTCCTGTGTGTAAAACTGGGAGTATTCCCTGCTGTAATATATCTGTAAATTTTTTTCCTGTGATTATATTGCTAAATTCAGCAATATATTGTGTTCATTTTATATCTCTCCTGCTGATAATCAGATGAATAATTTTCCCCTAATGTTAATTATCCATCAGACTGTGAATTTGCACCCTAGGAAGATGATATACAAGACAGAATACTGTAATTCTTGCAGTGCTTGATTTCTAACATGTATGTGTAGGTAAGTACATTTAACAGTTTGAATAGTGTTAAACCATAAGCAAATACAACAAACCTGCAAAGCTGTATTTCTTTGCTTCCTGGCTCTTTTTGATTTACTATTTCTAATAAGTCTTCCACTTAAAAGCGATCAAAATTATATGGAATGTAACCTATTATAATCTATTATAATCTTATCTGGTCTATTATGTTAAAGATAAGTGTCAGAAATCTAGCCGTTGAGGTTCATAATTAACATCTAGTAGGAACTTAAAATCTTATTTCTCTCCTTCCTGTTAAGAAAGGGTAATAGGTGGCGCAGGTAATTGACTTCTGTTCAACAGAGTGATCTGCCCTGCTGGAAGCATAACTCCATTCCTCAGATACGTTTTGTACTTTTTGGTACGTGGATAAATGTGTGGAAAACCCAATAATTACAAGGAAGGGGGCAATTATCCTGTATTCAGAGTTCAACATTACTTTACATAGAGTGAAATTAAAATGACACTGTAGGTGTTGTGGTAACACAACACCATCATGATGGTTTTTCCTAACATTTGCAATCCAGCGCTCTTATCTGTGGGGTTACACTTGAGAGCGCTGTGGAGCCTATCAGCTGCATCCCCTGGAGGACACCTGGCTGCCCTGTCCCTTTGTGCCCAGCCACGAAGACCTGCACCTGACTGCTCAAAGCTCCCAGAAGTACACTCCAATGGCTTGGTCCTTAAAATTGCGTTATGCTAAGGCAGGAAGTATCCTTTTCATAACAGCATCTTAAAATTCCCCATCTAACTCAATACAGAGAGCAGTCAGAATCTGAAATAAGTCACTAATATAAAGTAAAGCTTTTGGAAGGTAGTTTGAGCTTGCATTTTTTTGCTTGTTCAGTTTGTCAAACTGAAGTCCTATTGTAACTTACAGTGGGAGAGGAGTTTCAAAATGCAGTAGCTAGTTTTTTTTCTCTTTTCAGTTTGTGGCAATGCTGATACTGGCTGCTGTCTTTTTAACTGTGCTGTTAAGAAGCTTAAAGGGTGATGTTCTCAAAATCAGTGAGATGTTCCATCCTGTTAAGTGAAACATTTCTATTTTAGGGGGTGTTTCTCTCCAGTGAATTCTGCTTCCTTCCTTACTTCCTTTTTCTGCCAAGCTAATGTTAAACTTTTAGGGTATGACATCATTCCTACAGACCAGTGGCGTGCAATACAATTCATTTGCGTGTAGCACCACTCATACGCAACTGACAGACTCCAGGAGTGGGTACTTTGCTGTTGCTAGGTATGGGGATTATCTTGTGTGTGAAAGAGTGAAATGAGATGTAGAGATGGGGTGAAGCAGAAGAAACTGAACTGGAAACTTCAAAATTGCCAAGTTTAAAGGAATTAATGTGGCAGATTAGTCTCAACAGAGGTGGATGAGTAATGGGAAGGAAAAATTGAATGAGCCTCAGAGTCAGCTTTAGGCTAACACAAACAAGATGGTCTTCAAGGCAAAATGAGAAGATGGGAAATGCCTTGGTGAGAGGGAGGCACCTTCAGGCTGGGAAGCCCTCAGAGATGGCCCCTTTGCTGTCCTGCCACAGCTGGGAGCCACCATGAAGGCACTGGAGAAGGGGCTGTGAGACCTGCACCAAAGGGCTTTGGTCTGCAGGAGAGCAAGGGGAGCGGTGTGGCTGGTTCTGAGAGGGGCTGGGCTGTAGGTTGGGTCTGGAGAAGTTTATTAAATTGGCCATTGTGAAATGGCTGGACGTGAACTCTGGCCTCTCATCATCTGCTTGCAACACTACTGCAGTACACAGAAA